CTCTCTCAGGCCTAGGAAGGAGGCAAGGGCAAACCGCTTCTGAAAAACTTCTCAAGAAAACTGCAGGGACTTGCCCAGGCAGTTGCCAAGAGTCAACACTGACTCAAGGGCACCAAAAACAAACAAACAAACAAAAAACATCACTCTACTGAGCTCCACAGCAAGGCTTGCCAATTAAAATAAGATGCGGTTGGGGAAAATATTCTGATGCATTTCCTGTCCCTTGCAGTGGTATTATTCAGGTGGTATTGATATTTACAGAGCTAATGAATAGTACATGGCACCCAATTCAATAGGATGAATTTACAAGTACGGGTTCATTTTTTAAAAAAAGTACTTTAGCACCTTTCTGCTACAGTAAACACAGACAATGGCTTAAAAAGATCTAATTTGTCTAAGAATAGCAGCAAATAAAATTAAACATTAGCATTTCGGCAGATAAAACAGCCAAGGCAAAAATCTGAGTGATCAGGACTAGTGCATGGAGTCTAACAGAAAGGAACCCAAAGAAATTTCAAAGTTTTAAAACTGAGCTTCAAGGCTACCCCCACTGGACATCTTCTCTTCAAAAGCTACAAACAAACTTCTGTAATTGAGGACATCTAAAGGATTGATCATGGCATCCATTCACAGCGCATAAAATCTTTCTTCACAGATCCGTGGAAGAAATAGCCATCTTCAGCTAGGAATATCTCAGAACATAATTTGTATTCAGAATAAGGATAAGGTAACCTATAACAAAGGAGGTCTAGATGGATTGTCTTGGTACACATTTGCCTAGATGTGGGAAAAATATTGCTGAACTACAACTCCCAGCAGCCCCAAACCAATAGTGAAAGATGCTGAGAATTTAGTTCAGCAACATATGGAAGGCCACAAGTTTCCCGTTTTTGGTATACATAAGGTTTGGCAGTGAGTGTGTTGGGAGGAGGCACAGGTTTTGAGGCAAAAGAGGGGGGTGTCAAATCATGGTCTAGCATACAGTTCCTTCTTGCCTCAATCCATCCCCAGAGGTAAAGAATATATTTCTCCAAAATAAAAATGCACGTATTTCCTGGTGATTGTCCTTTGAGATATGACATGTACATTTGCAAAATTTGGAACCCCTTCCAGTGTAAGCTTCCATTGCTAAGAGCAAAACATCCTTCATTTTTCCCAGCTGTGCAAACAACACCCCCTACCTCAGTTTGGAGGGCTCACTTAAGATAAATAGCTTTTATCTTAAATTAAAGCATAGCCACTGCATCAGTAACTTCAAAATGGTTTGCATAGTCCTGCACATATTTAGCTGGACCAAAACATATGTCACCAAATGCGGATTACCAACTTTCAATTTTAGCATATAAAGCCACTACATCATTACACAGATGTATCCATGTACCTGAGAAGTCACCCCGAACCACCAGGGCCAAGAGAGCATCCTTTCCATTCACTCAAGGCAGGAGCGACGGATCGCTGCTGCTTTCAGCAGAGTTACTACGAGCATTGCAGCTGAACTGGGAACATCACAGAACATCCCAACATTGCCAGACAAGAGATTGATTATGGAAAAAGTAGTATGGAAAATGTGGAAGCACACACTTGTCATCTGTCTGCAACACCTTAAAGCAGGCTATCTGAATGAGTTGCAGGCAGGTGCTGTGTTTGTGCATCTGCATGTTCTGAACCACTGAGTCCAAAGCACTGCACAGCCTATCAAGATATATATTATACCTTTGTGGGTTTGCAATTAAAAAAAAAAAAAAAGCAAAGTAGTCCACCAATTCAACATGCCCATGCTGACATTCACTGGCTACAGAACCAAGGATTTAGAGAGAGATGTAGCCTTTGACCATAGGAGCCTATTTACGTGGGCATTAAAAAATACCACTTCTCTTACACATGTATAAGAATCAATCCAGCAGCTTTTAATACAAAGAGTTGACTCAAATTCTTGTCACCTTCCAGAAACTTCTTAAAATGGAGATTTTCTGGAGGGAATTTGAGGGCTGATACCAGATGCTTTATGGAGTATAGGTTTGTCCATGATGGCTGGTATTATTTTATAACATTTTCATTGTTGTCATTTTTCTTTTATATTGTGAGCCAATAAGAGTCTGTGCACAATTCAGCAAGATATAAAAATGAGGTCTATAAATAAACAAATAAACTACACCAACTAACAGTTCTGCCTCACTGTATCATTGTTAGATACTCAACTATCATCTTGCACAGCAGCTTTCTCCAGTGCTGTGTCCTACTGATGCATCAGAACAGCTATTCTCAGAATCCGCAGCCAGCAAGATAATGTCCATACTGTTGGAGTGCTATTGAACTGAAGTCCAATACAGCAAGCTGGGGAAGGCTATTAAACAGGAACATCACTTAGTTGCAAGATGATGCATAGTTATCTCCTGAACATTACCGTAATTCTAAAATATTTTATCTCCTGAGAGCTTGTCTGAATTCTCCGTGATCAAGCTACAAATGCTATTCGGAATCCTTTTTTGGATTTATTTCACAATTGTAGACTAATTCAGTAAGTGGGCAGCAGACTGGGGGAAACTGAAATAGGAGCAAAGGATGGGCCACCATTATTTGTCTACATTTTTTTATCTCTTTCAAAGTAGCCGAACTATTTTTGATAGTCAAGATTAATATTTTTTTTTTATGTCTACTGTCACGACAGATTAAGGGATTCCAGGCTAGTGACCTCAAAATGAAATCCTAATACATTTCAACTCTCACAATTTAAATCTAAAATCACACAACTGCTCAAATTGGCTAGGGCAGAACTTATCAACTGGGCATAATGTTCCCAGTGTTTGTCATAAGGTACTGAAGGTAACCAAAGTTGCAGCAGTTTCCATTATTCCTGTTGTATGACCTGGAGTTTCAGGAACAGCAGAAATAATAAGCATTGGATAAATTCAAAATAATTCATTTCCAAAAACTGTCACAGGCTCAGTGCTTTAAAATGCATATAAATGAAAGTTCCTGCATCTTCAAAGGAAGGAGACATTACGGTTTCATTCCAATATACTGTTTCAATTCAATATTTATTTTGAATCAAGAACAAACTAACATAGATCAAACTACTTACAATTCACCTCCTTGAATATTTTCCCGGAGGGACTATTAAAAAAAGAAAAGAAAAGAAAGCAGTTGCAAGAAACGTCAATCTACACTTGGTGTTTGCAATGGGAGAGAAGGCACTTTTCCTGTTTATTATCAAAAACTGTTATTCATCCGATGGGGGTAAACTACAAGTATTTATTTCCTTTCCCCATGGGATTGTATAATTGAGAAGACATTTTTTTCTAATTAGAAAAACAGAACATCACAAAAAATAAGTGTTCCTCTAACTTCTCCCTCCCACCGATGGTAATTTCTGCTGCAACTACTCTGGATAAAACGAAAAACCAAAAGCACCTACCCAAAGCAATAATTCAGGAAAGAGATTTGTACAACTCATCATCACATCAAATTTACAACAAAAAATGTGATGCACCCTAAGAGGAAACTGGAAGAGATCTTCTAACTGGGAAATACTGAAACATTTTTATTTATTTATTATTAAATTTGTATGCTGCCCATCTCCCCCAATGGGTGACTCTATAATAATAAGAGTATTATTATCAATAATAGCCAAAAACTGATTGGCATAATGGCCAGGAAATACAAAAACTGAAGCTGGATATATAGCTGTTGTAAGAATAACCACCTATAGCCAGTGAATTATCTGTAGAGAGCAAACTAAAAAGGATTCAGACTGGAATAAATGTTACTTCTTTTCATGAGAAAAGCTGTTATCAAAATAACCCTTCATCCCCTAGATTGAAGGTGCTATCTCTGGAGAAAAATGTGAGAATGCTTTTATCACACACCACATGGTTGCAAATTACAACACTCAAAAATAGTTTTGCTGGACTAAAACAAATGTCCATATAATTCAGTGGTCCACAGCGCCCTTTCAAACACCCTTAGAAAACTCACAACAGGGTCTTATGGAAAATAAGCCATGCTCTTGATTGGGAAGCAAAATGGGACCACCCAAACAATAAAACAAAATCAAAGGACTCCCTAGGTACACAGAAGATGAGTTTTCAGAATAAGAAAAGGCAACTAAATGGCCTGACAAGGACCTATGAGCAACACAGAGGCTAATGACAAAAGTCAAAGGGAAATGAGTCCAAGAATCCAGAATCTGCAGCAACAAATGTGAATAAACCATATATATACAGGGCTTTAACAAAGATTTAGTCAAACAGTCAAAGGCAAAACAAATCTGGAAAACACCTTCAACTCATATATTTCAAGATTTTCATTAATACAGGCCCAGTTTTATCGTTATTACAAACTTCTGCAGTACATCTTACACATATTTATTCAAAAGTCCCATTTTCTGCAGTTGGATTTACCTTTTAAATAAGCAAGCACAGGACTGCAGCCTCAGTGACCCTAACATATTACCATTTATTCATCTGTAAAACACCACTGCCTATAGAATATCCCTGGCTAAAATTATTTGTTTGTAGATTAAAAACAATGATTTAGCACAAAGTAAGGTAATACATAGGCTGGGTTCATACAGGTGTTTCTGTATTTTTGCATTGTTGCATATTCCAAAAGTTAAAAAAATATCCAATTTTGTGGCTAGGTTAAGGAAGCAGGACAGAGTAAACCATATAAGGAACACCCATTTTCTTAACAGAAGTCTGCCAACCAAATTATTACAAAATGGGAAGAAAGAATGCAAATTCTCCATTTCAGGAATGGAGCTCAGTGCCTACATAGTGTTAATGAGGCAGGTTGTCTAAAGGTTTGGCAAGAAGTCGGGAAAACAGGGCACACACTCAAGCAGCATATAGTTGGCAGTGAGAGAAGTGGGGTATATCATAAAATTCTGCCTAAACTGCTTCCAGGATTAGCTGATCACACCATTTCAGAGGTATTACTGGCGTAAAAAGAGAGAAAAGATGTGTATTTTAAGAGAAAGCCACCCCCATCAGAATTCTCACCATTTGTGGATGATGTTATGCAACGAAATTGATACACAGGGATGGTGCAGTTCAGCCAAAGGTCTGCCCTGTGCCCGTTCCCAACGAGCCATTGCTGAAAAAGAATGAGTGGTTTATCAGAGATGGAACAGTTCTGAAGGGGGTGGGGCTAAATGTAAGCTTCCATGCCAAGGAAGTTAAGCCAATCAGTCAAGATCACTTAAGCAATGAGAGACCCCTTGAAGGCCCACGCATCAGTAAGGCTTCTTTCCAAAAGTGAATGTAGAAATACAGGTCTCTCTTTACATTGGCTGAGAAGAGAAAGACCTTTCTTTGTGGCTTGATTCCTTTGACTGCATTACAAAGAGCATTCAAAAGAAGGGCAAAAACAGAACAAAACATCTCTCTTTTAAACCCCTTGACAAATTTCATAGGGAAAATCTTACTCCCTCCGACCTTCATTTCCCAATGGCAGACCACTAAGAATGGTTCAGGAGAACACCAATAAAATACACTGCAGCTCATACAGTTATCTTTTAATACTGGCACACCTGTAGTGCCAGGACTAAAAATCTGTAGTCCTCCAGATGTTGCTGAACAACCACCTCAGCATGCTTACATCAGCCACGGAGACTGGTGCTGCTGGAAATTGTCATTCTGCAACATTTGGAAGGCCACTAGTTCCTATCCCTAAAAAAATTTAAAATTGTGGCTCATGGACACTTTCAACGGTCTGGAAACTTTTCTGTGGTTACTCAGTAGGAGGAAAATTTTCCTGAACCAGTCCAGCACAGGGACTGACTCACATTTAATAAGCTTTTGTGCTTAAAATGTTGATTTATATTTCATTTTAGCTAACAGATACCCCCAAAGGCCAATATATTCTCTGACACATATAACTACTTTGGCTAGTATAGCAGAAGTTATGAGAATGCCAATGACTCTGTTTTGGAGAATAGTTTGGGCTACAATTTCACATTAAATTTCAAAAGAATAGATAGGTAGGTTAAAATAGAGAAAGTGGATATATTTCATAAAGAAGCAGTGGGTTAACTGCACAATGGAGCATTGGATGCAGTCAATAAAAACAGGCAGAGTTGTTTACTTACACTGACAATTGTAGAAACGAAGAGAAGAACAAGCACCGAAATATGGAGCACAATGATTCCCAACAACAAAAGGAGCATTTTGGCAAAAGTGTTCAGTAGATCTGGAAGGGGGAAAAATAACTTTAAGTAGAGAGAACAATGTTTACACATGGATGAGATTAGGCAAACTTGAATTTGAGAAATGAACAGCAGAGGGTGCCTCTGAGATGGAATACAGAGTTGTTTTAACCCTCAGTTGGTGATCACTAAAGAAATTCACCAAATGTGTTTTTGTTTTATGCAGAATGAAGCTAAGAATATGCATGAAAGTAGGAGAGTTTCCAACTTCTTAACTAGGAGATGAAAGCAGTAAGTATAAAACAAACAATAGTAATTTTGTATGTCTGAAGCAACTCAGTGAATGTGATTGTTCAGAGAAGTAAAGGGAGAGATTTGAAATAATTCAGACCTGAACAGTTTGGGAACTTTCACTGCAATCACAGAGGTAACTTAGAGTTGCAGAAATAGCAAGAAAAAGGGTGCAACATTCCCTACCAAACAATTCATAAAATATACATCTTGAATAATTTTCCTTCCCAGAACCTGATCCCCTTTTTTCCCCCTCCACATTTGGAAAAGTTATGGTGACGCCTGGTGTACTGAGTTTAAATGCCATAGCATTCCTCAAAGTTTCCATTCAGCCTACAGGAACTCTCCTCTGGAAAGAGACAGCAGACAAAAATCTCTTTTCTGAGGGTGCACTCAAATCATTTCAAAGGGAGAAAAGTCTAAAATGAAGTAGGAAAACAGTGCCATGCTTGGACAAGACCTCCACTGGCTGAGGTGGTTTAAGAGGCGGGGAATGGAAACCGTTATGCCACAAAGCCACCATTCTCCCTTGAATCATCTGCATCTGCAGACTAATAAACCACCAATCCCTCAAGTTCACGGCCCAGCTATCCTCACCATTGCTAAAGATAATAAAATTAAATGGACAATTATCTGGGGGTGGGTGAGCGGGGAAGGGGGGGACAGATTTTGAGGTTTGTAGTATTTCACAGGATAGCTGGAATGAGGAGGGAGAAACAGGTAAGTCCTGCAAGTTCCGAAGCAACAACTAAGTGGGTCTTTGGAACACAGCTAGAAAATAGGGGGCTTGGGAACTTGATGAAATTAATCTAGAGGAGGTGGGAAAATCCTCTCCATTTATTTTTTACAAACTAGGAAGAAGGAAAACCACAACTGCCGCACCATAAACACACACACCACACACTTCAAAGTCTACCAAGGGACTGCAGGGAGGAACTGGATTCCGGGCAGCGGGAAATGGGGGTGGGGGGTGGAGAGATCTACGTGCTAAAATGTTTCAACCCGTTTCTAATTATATCAAGGCCAGCGTGATTGAGAGCGGTTAGCTATCAAGTACGAAATGAAACTTTGCGGACCTGAGAACTCCGAACCTGCTCCAAACTTGTCTGCCGAGGTCCGGCCAGCTGCAGAGGGTCTCTCCCGCCCCCTGCCCCTCCCAAGGAATGCTCCACTTACGCCCGCTTAGGATGCGGGGCGGGAGGAATAATAATAGCAGGCGGGTCGTGGATTTGCAATATCCGTACAGGAAAAGTGCCGGGAGTCTTCGGGGCGAGGAGGGTGATTTGCAACGGCCACCCCGAAGCGATTTGGGGTGACAATTCCCCGTCCCACTAACAGAATGAGTCGGAAATGAAGCGGCCTACTTACTCCGCTGCAATTTGTTTTAATTCCTGCCGGGGTCTCTCCGCCGGTTGCTCCCTACCACTGGAAAAAAGGAGCCCCCCCCAAAGAGGAGTCCGAGAAAGCGGCTGCCCTCGTGTTTTTCTCGCCGAAGACCGAGAGGCGGGAACTGAAACGTTTCGCCCTTCAGCAGGAACAACGCCCCAATCGCGGCAGGGCGCCAAGCGGGCTGTGTATGTGTAGCACGCCGACGCCGATGGACAGGCAAACCGGCAGGCTGGCCGTGCCCCATCTATAAATACTTTCCCGGTGGAGAGAAGAGGGGGTGGGATGGCCGGGCGCGTCCTCAACGCAGCGGCTCTCTGGTGCTTGCAGCGCTAAAACCCGAGCGCAGGAGAATGACCTTCCCGCGGAACTTGTCTTCTCTTGCGCCTCTAGCAAGGAGCGTGGAAAAGGGCGAGCCAAGTATAGATCGCGCCTCACCGGGGCAGGCGCCACGTTTCCAGTGCCGGTATTCCTCACTTCAGCCCCGGCGCACTCGCTTTCCTTTCCCACCTGGTCTCCAGAATGCCACACTCCTCGGTCCCGACAGGGCCCTCGGCTTTCAATTATCCTGGCTGAGGAAAGAAATCCAGAGGCGGCTACAAAGAGCCTCCCGGAGGATGCGCAAAGACGCTGCTCTCCGCTTGGTGCGGCGTATGGCAGGGACCGCAGAGAACCCCCCGTTTCCCAGAAGTGTTAGCAGCCTATATAGTGCGTCTGCCTCACACACTCGCTGGCACACACATTCACTGCCGAGCGCGGCGCAGCATTCCCTTAGCAACCCCAAAGGAACCTATAAGGCCACCTCCCTCGCGCCACAGGTGATCGCCCTTGATTCCATGTCGTGGGTGATGCCTACCATCCCGGCGGCTTTCAAGCCACTCTCCTCCCCTCCCCTCCCCTCCCCTCCCAGCTTTGGCTTCCC